AGAAAGAACTTGTGTCGCTTAAGTATCGTCGGAACGAAGTTACGGAAAGTTAATTAACAAACGGAGACGTAACAGTGTATATTTTATCACGTATCTTCTAAACCTCCTCTCTCAAATTTCGACATCTTCACCCCTCTTTTATAATGCCCCTTACAACATTCTTGCTGTATTAGGACAACTTCTGCTTCTCATCCTGTTACGTGATTGGTTTTATCTTGGGGCACTCGTGTTCGGAAAGGGTCGCAAATAGGGTACGGCCACCCAGCTGAAATGGGGCCCCACTTTAGGTCAGTCTTCTTTATACCTCCTCCTCCCACAAACACACACAATATTTTTGCGAAATTACGCTCTTGGCTCTATGAAGTAAAATAAAATCCAATGAATCTATTTCATCTGCACAGTTTTTTACTCTCTGGTGATTATAATACAAAGTTTATTGTTCTTTAGTTGTGTGCACGTGCTCACAACACATTTACTTATTACCTCTTATTAGTTTGTATTTGTTAATCTGCCTTTTTTATAACAGACACGGTTGTTTCAAATGTCAGGACAATGCTAGAGATTTGTATCGTAATTTAGTTATTATTATTTTTTTTATTTAAACTTTATAGTAATTGTAAAATTTCAAATTATAAACTATTGATTCTGATTGTTAGTGTAAATACCCGAGAGAGGGCGTTAAAAATGGAGAATTAATGAAACATTTTGAGCCCATCATAATTTCGATGTTACAATACTTTCTTACCCTTGGCCTTCGAACATTCTAACGTAGTTTGTTTCAGTTGTTCTCTCCTTGAATTTGATGCATGTTCTAGCGTGGTACTGGTTCATGGCAGCTATGATTTTACCCCTTTGTATACCTGGCATAAAGGTACATTATATTTCAGTATTATTTATAACTAAAAACTAATAACTTATAAATTCAAGGTAGTTACACGTTACAGCCTTGTATTTATACGAAATGTGTTCATAATTCATGGTTTAGTCGAAAGAACAGCATTGATTTGATGCAGTTTTTTAAAGTTGATTTAAATATTATGTAACGAAAGAACAGTGGATGAAAATTACTCTTAGTTTTCGAAATTTGACATCATTCAAAAATTATCATTTCTGACAAGACGCGTCTTCAATCATACTAATAGTTTGACAATTGATGTTTGCCTTGGAATGAAGTACACTTATAGTTTTTATATAAGGCTTGGCATTTCGACAAAAATGTCTTTGTATTTAAATTTGATTAATGGTTGGTTTGAAAGTCCATGATGCCCCACATCAACGTATCAAGCTTTGGGTTCATACAGGGGCTGATCCAGGATTTATTTTTGAGGGGTGGATACTTGATGCGGTCTTTCCCGGAACAAAATATGTACATATAGGTGGGGTAAGAGTATTTTATACCCCCCAAACTTGTTCTCATTATATTTTGCCACCCTATCCACATCACCCCCCCCCCTCCTTACCCCCGATCACATTTGTCATGCGTTAATTTGTCACCGGTTAAGTGATAACATTCCTACGAAGCTTATTAAGTAGATCAGATATACTATAGAATATTAGATTAGTTAAATGTTGTTTTTAAAACATGTATTTTAAACTTTGTACTTTTACTTCTCTTTGTTTTTCTAACTCCTGTTTGAACTTGCCATTTTTACTGTTGTTTGCCCTTTAACCTTATGTTTAAAATTTGTTAGTTTACTACTGATTTCCTTTTATACTTGGGTTTCAAAGTTGGATATTTTACTACGGTTTACTTTTTAAACTGAGCTTTAAAACTTAGTAATTTTGTTTTTACGTTTACCTCTAGTTTTCTTTCATAATATGTCATGTTAAATATACACAGTTTTTACAGCATTAATTTAACTTGTCACCTTTAGTACTTTTTGTTAAATATTTGTTTTACCCATGTTTAATATTGGTTTTACTCATGTTTAATATTTGTTTTATCCAATAAACTCTACATACAGCTTTCCTTACTTTTCGAAGTACTTCAGACCTGAAAATTATCAGTAGCACAAAACATCAGACAAAAGGTGAGAATTCTTTACTTACTTAGAGAATAATCGATCACGTAAGGTACTACTCCACCTGGCCACAGTTGGTTTCTGTTGACAATGGCATTTCTTTCCTGTAAGTGACCATAAAATATGTTAAGATCACGTACGAGTAATCTTATTATAGTGTATCTTGCGATGTATACGTTCAAAATTCGAATCTCAGAAACTTCCGAACCGATCATCACCAGTCATAACTGAGTAATATTTTTATAGCTGAGCAATAAATATAACAAATGAAATTTCCAAAAAAACGATATGTTTCAATTTAACCAATAACAATTACAAACAAAAACGATATCTTTTAGATTTAACCAATAACAAAAATTACAAAAAGGAGTAAGTTTCAAATATAAAACAATAAAAAACAAATTAAAATAAATATTTGTTTTCATTAGTGAAAATCTCATGAATGCTGCAATAGAAAATCAAGGCACTTTTATTGATAACTACGTCTACAAAGAAATACTTCCATAAAATCTACTCTGTGATGTAATATTGTGATGATAGCTAATTTTTAAACTAAAATTTCAATAAAATCCCTTTTCTCATGGATGGTGAACATTATTGAATGTCAAGTATGAGT